TATCTATTGAATTTTAAGCTAATATAATGGAGGAATGGTGTTTCATATGACTTTGTGAAAAGTATATTTAAAACTTTTAAAGGGGCTTTTAAATTTTATCATCTGAATAATTTTTGGCAAATGAAATTGGAAAAGCAAAACAAAACACAAACACCTAGCATCAAAAGGTCCACCTTGTGGAAATATATGGTAACTACAGGTCTGTATCTTACACACTGGTGGTAAAATTGAAGTTTTTAGCTTCAGATCTATAGATCTATAGCTCTTCAACAGTAATGTCAAGTCAAGAAATACAAAATCCCAATTGAACTGTTAACTACTATTCCAGCAGACTTCCAGTATCAGACTTGCAGTATTAGAAACTTTTTCTAAGCCTTTCATGTGAAAACATCTCAAAAATAGATGAACAAGCCAATGAACATACAACAAACTGAATGTAAAAAAGTTTTCAAAAAGTTAATTCCTATAAATTATACCTGATTATTTCTCTATGTTTTTGGATGATATTAGCAATATATGATTAGTTCATATTTAGACAAAACATGTTAGAATGAAGGGAAAAGCTACCAGTTAGCAGCAGCTGCACACCTCTATGAAAACGGAGTACTCTATTTTATGTTAACAGTAATAAAAAGTCACCGTTTTGAAGTCTTTAAAAGTCACTTGTAAACTGCCTTAAAGATGTAAAGGGAGAAATTCTGAAAATTTAGTTTTTTGATAGGCAATGGGAGAACTCGATATGGTTGACATGCTAAAATTTTATATTTAGATATATACATAATAATTAGCTTCTAAATGCAGCTTACTAGTCTTTTTCAAAGATACACACACTGAATACATTATGAAAATTCAGGTACCTGCCCTAGAAGACTGGTGTTCACCACCATTTAGTGCCCTGCTTGCCACCTAACCTAACTCTTGGTTACAATGAGTTTGCATAGTGTGGTATAATAAATAATCTCAAAACCACTTACCATTGTGCTCTAACTATATTCCATGTTAGATCTGTGTGTTGATATTAATTTCTTGGTATACTATTTTGCTCTAAATTCTACTTTAGTTGTTTATTCATAGTGTTTTTCAATGCTTCAACTTTTGACTGGATATGTTAGACGTAAGTCTTAAGTGCAAATGTACAATAACTGTTATTAAGTGACGGTGACAGAATGGCTCAACAACTGCCTTGAGCTCAGTGCCTAGTGTGAAGTTCCATTTGCTAAAATTGGTAGAATTTGTTACTCTAGACTGCAAATTTGATGTGGAATTAAACACTATGCTATATGTAAACAATAGAGTCCACTATGCTTTCAAAGGATATACTGGCCTATAAGTTGGTGCTGACTGTCTATAGTGTCAGGATTTGGTGGCATTTAGATCACTTACAGTCATTACTGTAGGGTTTACATGTCTACCTAGTTACAGTAATTTAAAATTCTCCCTCTTTTTCATGTTTTCCATGTATCCTTCTGGAACAGTAATGACCTTATAGCTCAATTTGGTTAAGAACATACAGTAAATCTACATCAATAAGGTGTTAAATTGCAACCCAAGCAAGATATGTAGATCATTAGCTACAATGATCATTTAATTTTATTATGTCTGAAACAGAAAAGAATTTTTAGTTATATTGTTTAATAAATAACTCATATGCCTGACAATGAAAAATTGACTTAAATCACTATTTCTGTGAAACAGCAAAATGAAAATAAAAAGATCAAAGAGTTAGGATATTAAAAATTTTCCCTCTAAACTTGGGGTCTACAATCAGTAGTTCACAGACCAAATCTATTCAGCTTTAAAAAAATTTTTAAGGCCAACAAGCTCAGAATAACATTTTAAAATGGCTATATCTGCAATGATTATGTAAATACTTACAAAACATCCTCAAATTTCCTATTTGCCCCCCAAAGCCTAAAACAAATACAGTATAATTCTTTAAGACAAAGTTGTACGACTCCTAAAGTTAAAAACTTAGGTATAAATTACACAGAACTCAAATAGTTAAATTTTGTTTACAAACTCAGAAGTTTCTAATATCAAGTCTATTCCAAATTTCAATACTTATTATAAACTGAGGCTGAAATTAATTCTTGGACTTGTATAAAATGCATGGCAATTTAGGCAAATAAAACCTTACAGATATTAAAGAACAGTGTTTCATTACTGTGACAACCCACTCTGCCACAACCCTTGTCATTTAAAATAACTGCTATCACAGCATAAGCTAAAAGTATTATTTAAAGTTGCAGATAACATATATTTTCTGAGCACATAGTATTCCTACAAAAACAAGTTGACTTATTTTCCTCCAGATGCTATCACAGGATTATTTCAATGGGTATTTTTTACATAATGTGTTTTTGAAAAACAACTACTAAAACTAACGATTACAAATAATCATCATAGCAATGCAGTTTATGTACATCTGATATGCCTACACAATTCTTCCAAAGGTTCAATAGAGGAAAATCCATGTGATTATGCATGGCTTTACAAACATGTATATCCTCTGTTAGCGTAGCGGTGCAAGTCTGTAATCCAAGCACTCTAAGAGACTGAGGCAGAAGGATCATGAATCTGAGCCCAGACTAGGCATCTGGGAAAGTTAGTGACTAAGCAAGACCCTGTCTCAAAATACAAAATAAAGTGCTGGGTTATATAGCTCAGTGTGAAGACCTTGATTTCAATTACCAGTACCACACACACACAGAAAGTTATTTAAGAAATTGTTTGGATGTTTGAAGTATACTGAACAAGAGGGAAAGGAATAATAAAAAAAAAAAAAAACTAAACCTGAGGAGAGAGGCCCTTGTTTTGAGTGTTGAGATTCTTATTCAAAGTGTCCATAAGGCATTATATATAATATTCTGATGTTGAAAGTGAGGTCAGCACTTTCCTACACTGTGAATCATCAATGCTAGAGACGGCTATTGTGTGGGACTGGATAAAAAGGCCAAAGGATAAAGTTGAGAGTGAGGAATAGTGAGAGACTAGAAGTGAGGCCCACAAGAAGAGAGGTGAAAGGAAGCCAGAAAAGAGTAAGAGAGAGACAAATACTGGCCAGCTAAAGATTTTAAATGTGAAATGGCACTGAGAGGCTAAGGAAGAGGTCAGATTTGGCAAATAAACAGTGGTTTTGTGAGTTATTTCAATGAGATATCAGGGGCATAAGCTTGACTGAGGGAATGTAAGGAGCAAGTAGGACGTGATTAAGTTCAGACAGTAACTAGTAAAAGGATGCAATTTCATGGGAAGGGCAGTAGAGAAGAACACAATGTCAAGGAAGGGTTTTACTTACTTATTTAATAAAGATAGGTTATAAAAGCCAAGGGAGAAAAATCAACAGTAATGGGATTCAGAACACTAGTAGGGTGACTGTCCTTGATAAGCAAGTATGACACTGAAACAAGAGAACTCAGAAAATGTTGGCATTGATGCAGATGACATTCAATTTTAGGGTAAATGAGAAAATGTTGAGAAACTATCAGCTGCTTTATCTACGAGGTAAAGAATTAAGGAAAAATATTCTGCAAATGCAGTAAAAGCCAAGTATATAAGGCAGAGTAAGGACTGTTGAGCATGCTGAATGATTAGGCCACTACTGTAAAACTTGATTGGATGATTTTCTTCAGTGTAGTCCAGCTTGTAAAATGAGGGCTGTGAATTATTAGGTAAAGTTGAGATGAGTAAAAAGGGCAAGGGTATTATTCTGGACTCCAGGCTCTATAATGGGTATGTAAGAAAAGACACTAAGGAAGGATGACAGGTAGAGAAAAAGTGGAGTAAATGTCCTAAGACTACTCTAGAAAGCAAGCACTGAAGGTAACAGGTTGGATGATAACACCGTTAGAAACTAACAGCCTGACGTTCTGTTGGTAATAAAAGTTATAGCAGAAAGGTTTTAAGGGCAGAAGTACGAACCTGGGACAGACTCCATATACAACATAGTATGGGAGTAAGTATGATGTCACAATTGAAGGGTCTTGTAAAATGAGCTAAGTAGGTAAGTCACGCATGATGGGGTTAGTTCTAAACTCACAAGGCGACCCAAACTGCAGTTTGAATAGTATTTAATACTGTAGTAGAGCTGTAACTCCCTCTTGAAACAGAAACCCCACTGTCCCAACCATAAATCTAAGCTGATACTAATCACTGAATGAGGGGACTGATATGAAACATAAAGTGTTTTGCTCTTATTTTGATTAAGAAACTATACCGTTTTTCTATTTTAAAGAGAAAAGAACAAAAACAAAATAACAAAAACAATAAAATGATACAGAATTCCAAAAAAAGGTGATAGGAAATTAACATTGGTTGTTGTATTACGTGTCATCTTCAAAGTAGTTACTCAGATTACCAGATACAGGCATGCAAGATTGATCAAACAATTAAACATCAACTGTTCCTTTCAATAAACCATTAGAAATTAGTACAATTGTCCTAGCTATTTTGTGTGTGCATATATACATTTTTCACTTCTTTTCTCCTTTCCCTCATCCCAGTTGTTCTTTCCCTTTGAGCAGTTTCTTTCCCTTTCACAATATCTATTGTGTCTTTCAGATTTTATTTACTCTTTCAGGTTCTTACACTAGGGAGACAATACGACGTTTACACATGTGGGTCTGATTTATTTCACTTAGGAGTATGGTCTCTAATTGCATCCCTTTACCTATAGAAGCCTCAAGTTTATCTTTCTTTATAGCTAATACTCCACTGTATAAAAGTACATCTTTTTTATTCATTCCTCAGTTGACAGGCATTTGGGTTGTTTCCAAGATTTAGCCATTACAGATTGTGCTGCTATAAACATGAGTGCACATATATTGCTGTGGTATGATGTTTACTTTATACTATATTTAAATACAGGTATTATCCAAATAGTCTACCATTTAGACAATGAACAATAAGGCTGTTAGTATTATTCTTGTCTGACTGCAGAAGGATATCATTTGATTCAGCATCCATAAAATAGAAAAATTATGATATATAAAATAATTTCGTAAGTTAATCAAGTGAAATAGAATTTATTTCAACTTTAATATAGCAAAACAAATCAAATATTCACTTTATTTGATAGAATGATCCAGCAAAATATTACAATGAAAACTAGGAGCTTAAAATGTACTTGACAAACAGCATGCTTACGAGTTAAAATTTCTACATTGAGTTAAAATATTTTAGGCAATATACTACCAATTTTAGGCCATTTAGTATCTGCTAATACATTGGAGCCATAACCCTATGAATTATCTCCCAAAGTGTGCTGAAAGTACTGATCTACCACACAGGTAAACATTGTAAATCAGGGACTTTCTCCTTTCTCTAAGTGTGGCTACAGTTTTATTACTTACATATTCTGAACTATTAAATAAATTTTAGATAATATACTTTACTTCATCTAAAACTATATAAAATTTTATGTATATTATATAATAAAATTTATTAAGCCAATTTTGTGATTATAGTTAATTACGTATTACAACAAAAATAAGCCAACTTCATTTACTGGTTTTCCAAAATTTTCTCTCTACAAAAGGAAAAACAATACTGTGCACACTGTCTTTTGCGCTTGCAGTCACGTTACAGTGGTTCTATGTGATCTGTAAGAAGACATGTCTGTGAATTTGGGAGGGCCTACAGAATACACTTGCCTGGTAACATGTACTTTTTTGTAGGGGTACTCCTCTATTTCCTTAGTTACACACAAAAAATAGTAATTAGAAAAATGCATCACAATTAGATTTCACTCATCATTTCTATCATGAGCCATGAATAATGACATCAGTCCTCTGTGTACGTTAAGAAGTTCCTCTTCTTGCTATAACCAAGAAAAAAAAGTTACACTTACTTTTATTTTTATCTCTGTAAACTATCAAATAAAATAGAAAAAATCAAACTATTACAGATTCATTTTAAAACAACTCCTTTTATAAAGATCCTGTATATCAGTGCTCATTTTACAAAATCCCACAGGATCTACAGTATATCTAGGTACCTAGAATTCTATAATCAGTAATGTTCAAGGTGATCAACTGGGAGAAGATCCACAGCATTTTAAATTCCCACAACACTGAAATTTAGATTTGAATTTTAGAAGAAGAGTATAAATAAAAATAGCATAGGAGAAATTTTCAACAAAGATCAACACAGTCAATAAGGACTCTTACTTGTTTCAAGTTACACTAGGTCAGCCACAATCTCCTGATCTCCTACCTCAGCAGGAAGTTCTATTAAAACTTTGCAAGTATATTAACATAGTTTGTACACAAAAGATCAATGCTAACATACAATTAAAACACCTCCCACCTCTGAGAAAACACACAAATATGTTCACTCAAGGCAGTGCCTTTAGTTCCCTGCCAGATGTACGTTTCTTCCAGAAGCCAGCTACTAGTCTACGAGGTCTTTGCAAATTCAGCTATTTTTATCCTAAAGTCCAAGTAAATGAACTCTTTTTATCTGAGTGGACAATAATTCTTTCATGAACTACATAGCCTTTCTAGGTAGTTCTGTGCTGCTGTAGTGCACAGTGATTATAAACAGTGTAAAGAAGTCATTCTCCTACCTAATTTTTCAGTTTGCAAATTTATATTCTTTTTCCCCTCAAGAGGCACTCATCACTAAAACTAACATTATGTTGTCACTCTAGGTTCCTATTCTTTAAAAAACTAAAGTCACTGGGCTAAAACTACCTTCTCTGAATCCAAAAAGAAAAAGAAAAAAAACCTGTGAAATTCCCATTAAAAGACATAAAAGCATAATTATTCTGTTAGAAAACAAACTTAGCTAACTTACCATTTCCATAAGAAGCCTTTCTTGCAGCATTTTCAAATTTTCTTTCATTGAACCCACCTGAATATAAGTAAACATATATCCCCCATGAAATGTAGTTTTCACAGCAAAAATACTAGAGTATCCAAAATCAAGAGATTAAGTATAAAAAACCAAATTTATACCTCTGATGTAAAAACAGTTTCTTCATAATCAGTTTTATAGAAGACATTTTTATATAGTGAAGTTTTCAGAAGATGAAGCCTAGCAAGTAAAATAATAAGTTAACTTTCTATTTATCAGGAATTAAAATTCTTATCCTACATATATAATTTTTCGAATAATATAAACTTGTTAACTATAGAATCTACTTTTATACATTCCAATCATTAATAGTGGCATACTAACCTCTGCTCTTCACTTCTCTGATATTCTCTGAACTGCTGGTGTATCTTTTCCCAAAAGTCCTAAATTTTAAGATATAAAAACATTTACTTTCATATAAAAATTAAAACCAAGAATAAGTACACTGCTAATATTCTAAATTTAAATGATTTAGGTACATGCTCAGAATATCCCATATGTTATACAATCTTTCATATTAAGATATGAAAGTAAAATAAAAATTTCTCCCATATTATCAAAGATATTCATCATAAACTTGCTGGTAGTTTAAACGTACGAAAGTGATTAACTACAATCTAAGCTAAAATTAAATTGTAATGAAAAAATGTTTTAGGTTGTTCTCTTAAAGGACAAACTACAAGTTTATCTAACCACAGCTTTTTAAGAGTTTAAAATTATTTTAAAAGCACAAACCACAAATTCCTTCTCCAAATCTTCTAAAGACTGTGAATCTTTTTCAAAATTCTCTAGCTGTTCCATGATGTTCATCTGGAATTTATCAAGTCTTTTAATCCTATTAAAAAACAAAATGAAATTACTTCAAAAAGTGACAGCAGAACGTATATTCACAATACACTGAGAACATGTATTCACAATACATACATATATACCATGCAGAAGTTTTCAGAATAGATTACAGACCTATACTCCTGAATTTGATGGTTCATTGTTTTCACATGCTGCTGAACTGTTTTCCAAGACTGCTTCGTAAAATAATCTGTCATTTTATGTCGGATCTAAAAAAATACTCACTTTTACTTAAAATACCTTTACAAAACAATGTACTATAAGAATATGTTAACAGAAAAACCTTTTCCAGGATATATGTGATTAAGAAGAACTTAGAAAAGTAAAAATTTAAAATCTCAATTATTCAGACAGGTCTTTATAAACCAGCTCAGTCAGAGCAGTGTCTGCCTGTATCAGTAAGGCTGTGACTAAGGACTGGTAAGTTGTAAATGAGAACATTACAACCACTCTGTATTTACAAACAAATGCTAGTGATAATTTTATTCGAGTGCATATCCTAAGTCATAATCACAATTGTTGTTTTTACCGTTTTTCACAAATTTATTCACATCTACACAGAGAATACATAAATCAAGGCTTCACTATTGAGATTAGATTGCCCTTGGGCAAATAAAACAAAATAAATGTATATAATTTTAAAGAATTTCATATTTTACCCCTGAATAGAAGAAAAAGGCAAGCAAGAGGTGGTGCTGAAGAAGGTTATAAAACATGTCTATTCCAATTAGAGACAAAGGAAGAAAGGATGGAAAAATTACTAAAAATTATTTTAGAAAGTATTTTTGCATACTGTACATCATTTTATTGGAGCCTTAAAAACTATTAACACGTAAGTACAAAGCTGGCAGAACAAAGTTGATTGTATGACGTTATTGTTTACATGGCCCAAAGACTCAGGTATTTTGAGGTCAGGCTTTTGGAAGGTCATTTGAGCATGGTGGTGCTATTCTAATTCACTGCTGTGTTTATAGCTGAAGGTCCTGTTAGGAAGTGGGGCCTGGGGCAATGGGTGGGTCACTGAGGTCCTGACCTGGAAGAGCACCTGTCTGAAGCTACTGAGGGACACAGCTCTTTTCTACAACTGGGCCTTTCCATCACACAGTTTCTGCTTTGGAGCCACATGATCATGAACTCAACTTGCTAAAGTTATGAGTCAAAATAGACCTATCCTTGTCTAAGTTACAGATGCTGGGTATTTTGTCTTAAAGAGGAAAGTGACTAAGACATGTAACATATTATTTTATACTACCCTCTCTAATGGCCACTTCTGTGAGATTAAAAAATGTCTAAAGAAGATAAGGCATAAAAAGAAAATTGTTCAGAAATATCAAACAAAAATAATAGAAGAGCTAAAATGTTAAACTGCAAAGGAAAACAGGACAAAAGACTAGTAGAAAAATAAAGAACATGGGTAATAGATTTTAGAAGAGAAATATGGATTATGAGGTTTTTAATCTGATTATTATTCCAATTTTTTACATATGCAGAAAGTTGTATTCATGAATGCAGCTTTCATTGCCCAAGGATACAACAGGCCAAGAGTCTAATATAAAGTGTAGCATATTATCCTATTGTTGAGTATAAAATATAAAGAACTATAAACGCACATGAATCTTCCTCTTAAACTGGGAATTAAGCTTCTCACAAATCATGCCTGCACCTGGAAGGTGATTTTTCCAGTTCTCAGGAATAAAGCACTCATTTGTTGATAATGGAGATAAACTTTCGAACACTAAAAAATGAAAATAATCAGGTAAAGTCAAAATACGTATTATTATAAATTTAATGTTGTCATTAGACTAAGAACAAAATCTTATTTTTATATTCTATGCTTGATCTAAGGTTTATAAAATCAAAAGCAGGCCTCATTATTTTTTAATTTAAAAATGCCAATTATTCTGACTTATTAGAGAACTTTTGATATGACTATTAAGGCAAAAAAGGCAATTTTTTAATGGCCCGGTGATGGACTATTTTTTAATTGCTTTCAACTTACTTTTACATTATTAGTAACACAAGCATTTAGACATACTAACATCAATAATTCATAACTGTAGTAAAACTTACATGTAGTAGTAAGTGATAAAATGATGAGGATCCCCGAGTATATAAGGCCTTTATTACAACATTATTCATACAAAGTGAAATTTGTGATAAAGACCCATCCATCCTGAATTTATCCAAAGTTATCAGTATGAAGGAATTTCTTTTGTGGATGAAGTCATTCCAAACAATTGTACAAATAATTGTATTTTATCACAGGTTTTAGATCTGCTTACTTTTGTAGGTGTGATGATCTACATCTTCAGTTTTGCAGACCCTTTTGGGAAGTAAGTGTATGCTCCTTACTTCTTCCATTTCCACTTCATTGGAATTACTTACGTTATCTTCTATATACATTCGTTTGCAACTAAGATGCTGAGCGAGGCCTTAGGAATAGTTAAATAACAGTATTACAATTCTGATTAAAATACTTGATATTTTTTCCGTTTTTACAGAAAGCCTTTGTTTCATTTAATTATCTGCATTGCTTTAAGCAACTGTGCATTAAATTCTACCTTATCTATATATACAGTATTTTGAATAATGATTTGATTTAAAAACAACTTCTTTGGGTATAATTTCAAAGTGGTATTTTAATTACTATTTTTTTTAAAAAAGTAGGTCTATGTTTACAAACCTGATATCTGAGTAGTGTCATGAGTCATGCCAAAGCATATTTTCTCTCTTCTTTCACTAGACATGGATAATGGAGATGCTGAACGGCTTTCCTAAAATACATTATTAGAACTTAGGAAAAAATGTAAGTACTCTTGGATTAACTTTTGATCATCCATGCCTAAATGCTAGTAAATCTGAAATGCTGTCAACTCTCTTTTAGACAGTTTTGTTTCTACCCCTTCTTTTTCATCTTTATCACTACCATGAATGAACCTAGATTCTAGGTTAACATCAATCCTATAGCAATAGTTTTGATCTGTCTTTTCTGACTATTCAGTTTTTCCTTGTTGTTTTATTTAAGAAATAGTCACAGAAAAAGTTTAAACTCTTTCAAATCATGTTTTTTCACATACAACCTTATGTTTCACTGTCTGAGTATACAGATTTGGTTTTTTTCCCTGTAGAAACCTTTACTTAGGGTACTGTTATTTTTTCCTTACTACCCATCCATCCACTTAGGTTTAGCTCAAATCCCAGTCCTCTCCCAGGTATAAAATTATAAATTATACAGGTTATTAAAATATTTCTTATTGATGGGTCAATGTACTTTTATGGTTATAAGAAGCTCAACAAACCAAATTGCTATATAATCATTAAACTGCAAAATTCTAATTATAAATATGTAGGTGCAGTGTTCAACAGTTGAATGTTAAATATTTAAGCCATTACTATTTTCATTTTAGAACCTTCAACTTTTTCTATCAAAGTGATCAAGCTATCCTCTTTATACTGTAAACATGAGATTTTCAGGTGATAACTGAAAAGTACTATAACAGTAATTACAATCATAGGCTAGTAATATCATTCTTAAAGAATCATCTTAATTTAAGGAAAATTTTAGAAATATATTACCTCTCTGTCGCTTTGTGTATGATTTTCACTGTTATGTAGAGATTCAATTTCCATACACTGTTTTTCTGAACTATAACTGCTTACATCTGAATAGCTGTTAGAATTTTGTGTTTCTTGTGTAAGTATCACAGAATTCATGTTTTGTTTATTCATAACAGTTTTAATCTTTCTGGGAGTATGACTGGGCTATAAATGAATAAGAAATATAGAAACCAAAAGGAAGTTAAGACAACATGTTAAAGCCAAGAAAAATATTTGAACATAAAAATAGGAAACATTAAACTGAATTACTTAAATTTGAGGGGAATTATTAATTTACTGCTAAAATTCAACCCCTAATTATGACTTGTTAAAATGTGCTTAGACCAAAAGAACAATAACTTGAAGACAAGTATCTACCAAAAACTGTGGATAAAGGAATAAAGATGCCTGTTATTATAGTGTCTCTATTCCAGAGGTCAAATAAAGACAGGAACAGAAAATGCAAAAATTATCATGAGTAACAGTTTGATTTATTCTGCATAAAGAATATCTGAGAGAATCTGGGGAGACAATTGTGACAGAACTTAGCAAAGCGGTTAGATAAAAGGGAGTAATTTTTCTGTATATGTACAAGCAAAAAACCCCTGTGAAAATGTATTTTAAAAAGTGCTTTGGCACAGGAGGACATTACATAGTGGTTAACAGAACAATTCAACAGAAAGAGGTATCAATTGTAAGTGTATATGCACCAAACCATAGTGCACCCAACTTCATAAAATAAACCCTAATGGATATAAAAGATTGCTTAAAGATCAACACAATTATTGTATAATGGGGGACCTCAATATCCCACTATCACAAATAAGACATCAACTAAACAAAAATTAAGCAAAGGCATATGAGTTGGACCACCCTTCAAACAAAGAGACTTCACAGATGTATACAGTGTTCCATCCAACAACAAGCGAATACATATTCTTTTTGGCTATACGTGATACTTTCTCCAAAACATATCATATACTAGTTAATAAAATATGCCTAAGTACATGCAAAATAATCAAAATTTTACCATGCAACTTATCAGATCACAGTGCAATGACACTAGAAATCAATAGCAAAGAAATCATAGAAACTATACAAATATATGGAAATTAAACAAGATACTCTTTAATAATCAATGGGTCAGGGAGGAAATTAAGGAAGAAATAAGTCAGTTCCTAGAACTAAATGATAATACCAGCACAATATACTAGACACAATAAAAGTCCTACAAGGAAAGTGTATAGTGGTAAATGACCAGATCAGAAAAATAGAACAAGCTCAAATACATAACCTAGTGCTGCATCTCAAGATCTTAGAATAAGAACAATTCAAACTCAGTACTTGAACAATGATGGAAGTTAAAAAGAACAGAACAAAAATTAATGAGATGGAGACTAGAGAAATAAAACAAAGAATGAATGAATTGAAGAGCTTGTTCTTTGAAAGAATAAAAAGACAAATTTGTAGCCAATCTTACCCCCAAAAAGAAAGAAAAAGACACAAATTAATGCAACTGGAAATGAGAAAGGTGAAATCACAATGGACACTGTCAAGATTCAGAAACTTATGGCATTCACCGGGAAATGGATACAACTTCAATACTAAGTGAATAAATCAGACACGTAAAGTCAAATATCTCATGCTTTTTTTTATACGAGAAACACTACACACACACATATCTATACATATATACACGTGTGCACACACAAAGCAAAACAGAAGAGGTAAATAGGAGGTAGGGCGAAGTTCAAATATATCCCCACATTAAAAATTCTATTGTTGTGAAAATATGTCAATATATGCTAATTGGCTTTATTTATACTAACTTTAGTTCTCTGAAAAGAAAATTTCTGTTTTTATGTTTCTTTTTTGTAACTGTTTTGGTTTATGTCTTATACTTTGAGTAACTACTCTGAAGACAATAAAACAGTATAATAACTATTGTTATTCCTTTTGTGGTTATGAAATAGTTTTTTTCATAAAATGAAAAAGTGCTTTTTGTTTTTTTCAATACAGTGAAAAGAAAACTCATAAGATATTTAGTCTGTGAAGGTTTTGGTACAGCTTTCTAGGAAATAAAAGTGAAAATGAAAATGACCTGTAGATGAAAAAGACAGCATGAATATGGATAAATGATTAGACTTTGAATTATAGTGAAATCTGAAGTGCCTGTGTTGCTAGAATAAGTCCATTCAAATCTAAAAAAATGTATGTAGCTTTTATATACAGATTAAACAGAACCTCTTTGGAGGTGATTATTACCATCACAGAATACTTATTTGTATGCTATACTGTCATGCTACCACATTCTTTTGCCTGTATAGCTACAATTAGTATGTTAGGTTCCTTGAGGCTGGGTACTTGATCTTATTTTTTTAGTATGTACATCTTCTTCCAGACCCCATATCAAATTCAAAACCTTACGAACGCAAGCAATGCATATTTAATTATAGGAAAATGATTTATCACTTTCAGATATATCTAATAAAATAGTAATATACATTCTTACCAGAAGAAGAGGTGGTTGAATTGGTGAGCAACTTACACTTGCACATATTAAGTTTATCCCACTGTTTTTTGGTGAGTTTACTGGACTTCCAACTCTATTGCTACTGTTTAAAGATCCAGGTGATAAAGTTTTTGGATAAGGTGATAGAGATTTTGTTATACAGTCATAATCCTGAGTAGAATCATTCTCTGTTATTTTTTCCACACCTACATTGCCCCACAAACAAACAAAACACATGGTGGGCGTTACTGATGTTGCCTGCTTTAAAAATTCCACAATTCTAAAAGTATGACCATTTACAAATTCTCAAACCTTAGCTTTATTTAACAAGATAAATTTCAATAAATTAAGACCATATTTTGTTAGAAATATTTTATAAAACTTTGAAAAATAATAGCTGAATTTAAAATTTTAAAACTTTCAAAACATTTTCGAACAAAAACCTGTATTATACATATAGTAGATCATATAGTATTATCTTGACTATTTTGACATCATAGCGAAGTATCACATGTTAATTCCACAGAATTTTATGATCAGAAAAAGCTTGAGGAAATCATATGCACTAGGTCCTTCATATAAAAAGAAGGAAATTTAGTGCTGAGGTAAGTCCTGATATAAATGCATTCTTAAAGAGTGGTCAGACCAAGTCAGGGAAGGTGTGTGTGTGTGTATATGTATGTATGTATGTGTGTGTGTGTGTATATATGTATACGTATGTATATATGTATATATGTGTGTATATATATATATATCTTTCAGCATGTGTTTGTCTGAATTGACAGTGTTTTTGAGCACTATGAAAATAAAAGAACATAAAACTTCTTTAGGAGAAGCATAATCACATTAAATGATTTAAGTCCTAAATTTTAACTGAAATTATTTAACATTAGAAATGTTTTAAAATACCTTTACATGGAACTTAAAGTTATATAAAAAGTATAAACTTTTAGTGTATATAATAGAAAGACATATGCCTAAGCTCTAAAGAATATGAATTTTATGTACCATTTAGTTTTAAATAAATGCAAAACTTTCCTTGCTTGGGGAAATAATTCAGTGAGTCTACAGAACAATCACGGTTTATACTGGCTTGTCAATGAATTATGAAAAGATAAAAAACCAGATATCCTTATAATTCTAAACATATTTTCACCTGGAAGTATGAAATTTAACTCTTACTTGAGCTTATAACTCAAAAGTATACATTAAGTATTTTCCATAATGAAGTATTTGTTAACTTACTAGTGCAAAAAATTCAGTATTTTAGTAACGTAAGTTTCTAAGTAAGCAATAACCAATAACCAAGCTACTAGCATTAGGTAGTTTAAAAATGAAATTTTAACAACTTATCATATTAAATACATTCCTCTAAATTAGTCTTTAAACTTCATTTTCATGTTATTAGAACTAAAGTAGAAGAAAACTACTGATTATTCATATAATATATAAGAAAAATGAAATGTTACTGACATCTCATTACTTCTATAGATGATGGACTCCCAGCTAAAGATATAGGAGATAAGTCACGGTTATTATCTCTTATAGCATCTTTTAGCAGAGATGGATTTTTCTGTTTTTTTGATAGTTCTTTTTGTGTCTCAGTTAAGATGAGTTTCTGTTGTTTCTTTGGTAGTTTCATGTTTTTGGTTCTGGAATGGATATTCTCCTCCTAAACATATTGATAAATTATACTTGAATACAAATACATTGGGGTACACAGAACAAATTACCTTGAAATAGTTACTAAATACCTTATGTTACTATAGTACATGCAGTCATAAGCAAGGCCCTAGACACTAGGAAAAGACTGTTATACTAGATGGTGTAAGACACATTCACAGGAAAACATTAAGGCACAGGCTATGATAAATACCGAAACAGATACAAATAAAATGCTATGAGGGTTCAAAGAAGATTATATCCAGTTCAGGAAAACCAAAAAGAATTATAGATTTAGTAACACTTGAAATACTAGAAAGTTTGTGAAAGAAGATGGTATGAGAAAGACATAATGGGAATAAGGAAAACCAAGGGCAGTTGAGAAGCCCAGGTTTTATTTGGGTGTCCAAGACTACAGTATTGGACTGTTACAGTTCTGGGTATACACTGGTGAACAATGGAAATAAACCTGCTTTAGAGTATTTAGAGAGACAGATGAGAGGTGGTTTGGAAAGACCTGACTCTATGATAAGTGATACAACATGTGGAGGCAACTTAGGAAGTCCTCAAAGTCTTCTGGGTAAGAGATAAGAAGGCTGTAAGTAAGAAAAAATGTGGGCTTAATGACTGAAAATTAGCATGGTGTACTAGGCAGAAGATACCTATCATTAGCACCAGTCTATGTGGGTTCAAATCCTATCTCCACCACTTTTTTCTGAGGGATCCTGGGCAAGTTTCTTCCCTTGAGCCCCAATTTGTCATTTGCAAAATGGGATGACAGTAGTAGCACAAATTATCTACATTACTTGTCAGATTTCAAGAAAATAAATCTATAAAGTGTTCAAGACTGCAACTGGCATATTGTAAGCATTAAATATTTTTATGTTTTACTTTAAAAAAATCAAAGACAGGTAAATTGGAATGTGTATGTATCACCCTAAGACATAAGAAACAAGTCACGGAGTAGACACAGGTTAAGAAGTGTACGGGGGAATACCTGAGACATCAATATTTTTGCTTCTATTCATGAGAAAAATCCACACTGAAGCATAATTTTGGAAAGATAAAGTACTTCTCTACTTCGAAGATATTAAAGTTACAATTTTAGTGGGGTTAGATGTCCGTTTGTAACAGTGACTACCAACTTATAAAATGTGACACTGTATTGTCTAGGCATCAATTTTCAAAATTATTATTAAAAAGTGTCCTCATATAGGTTAATTCAAAAAGATGAGAAGATAAATTTTAACAAAATACATATTTTGTATTTTAAAAGGCTTTTAGAAATTATGGATCAGGGCTGGGGATTTAGCTCAGCAGCACAGAGCCTGCCTGGCAAGCACAAGGTCAGGAGTTCGACTCCCTGTACCGGAAAACACACACACAAAAAAAAAAATTATGGATCTGAACTGGAGCCATTTTACCTTTACTAGAGGTTTCTCTTTAAGTGAATGTGCAGATTCTTGTTCACTCTCTGATTCTGAATTTGAGAGATCTTTGTAATTTTTCTTGGTTTTTGTTGCTTTTCGGGGGAGTCTGGTTCTCCCATCTGGAACTGTCTCATCTACCTTTTGGATGGTATTTTTATTGGGTACCTTTAGGATAAAAATTCCTGAATATTATTAGATCAGTACTTGAGATACAAGAAATGCAAGTTATTTGCTACACAATTGGCAGTGACAATACACACATAAAATATTTGATAGAAATAAAATTACTGATTAGTACTTTTAAATGATTTATCTTCCCATTCTAATTATCTTATCTCTTTTTAATCCCTACCATTAAATCTGAGAGGCCTGATATGCATTATCTAACTTAAGCAAAACAGAAAAAATATTTTGAAATACACACAAAAATATTAATAACCATGAAATAAAACAAGACTCCAAGTAAGGCCAATATGATGTAAAAAGAGCCAGAACTTAAGGAAAAAAGTACAATTATGAAAAATTATAGGGGTGTGGAAAAGTAGTAACAGCTAGCAAAATTCTGAGATGACAAACTATTTTGTACGACAAGGAGAAACAATTTTAAAGGAATGTTTGAACACAAATTCTTGGTTTACCATTTTAGATCTTCGCTGGCCCTTATCCATAGATGGTCCTGCAAGTCAGGAAAGTAAGGTTAAAATTTTCAAATAGGTAATAATGGGCATTAAATTTCTTAGAACACTTTTTGCACATATAAACATAGTATAAACAAGAACATATATACGTGTTTACTTATTTATTTATTTATTTATTTAAAGGTATCTGTCAGCATTCAATGACCCTCCCTCCATGTAGTTTCAAGAAGGAGTATAGGAGACCTCCTGAAATTCTAATTTCTCCTCGGCCCCTGTATGGAAGAATTTGGCCTTTAGGATGACAAGCTGCTTTAGGAGGTTTCCTTTCTCCTGAACTTTGTAGGCAGGAGCCTGATGGCATTATACTGCTGATGAGAAAGAGTACATCTTTAAACTCATCTAAAAACAAATTTCAAGAATAGAAAATTTGTACTATATAGTATTTGTTATATGTATTGTCGATTTCCCTTCTCCTCAACTATATATTGTCAAACACTTTTTATACATATAAGAGCATATGTAACATGTTATAAAGTTAACATCTAGAAGCTATCACTCAATTTCAGAACCAGATTATGAATAATGTTGAATCTACAGGGATGTTTTCTCATACTTCTGTCTTTGATAAAAAGTAGTAACTACTCTGAAATTTGTTTCTCATGCACTTGTTTTGAACAAAGAGTTTTAGTTCATATGTATGTATCTTTAAATAATATGTATCCTTAAATAATTTAATGAGCTTTAAAACATAATATCATGCTCTGTGTAACACTCTATGATTTGCTTCATTTTTCAAATATCATATTTCTAAGATATATCCCCATTATTGATAGCTTTAGTCCCCTCCCTTTTTTCTTTTTTTTTTTTTTTTTGCTTTCAATCATAATGTCTTTTGTTGGCGAGGGACAGGATCTCACTATGTAGTACAGGCTGGCCTTAAACTCAAACTCCTAGAGGTAATTCTCCTGCCTCAACCTCCCAAGTGCTGGAATTATGGGTATGTGTCACCATGCCTAGCTTTCAAACATTAGTATCATCTTCCTAAATATTCGCTGAAGCCTAAGAAAGTAGATTATTCAAGCCAAGGAAGAAAAGCTTATTTGGAAAGAAAGTCCTATAATCCAACTAATAAACGAGCTCATAAATATTAACTTGTTATCCAGCCATTTAAAATATTTAAAATAATTCACATACAAGTTCAATTTTTAAATATTTACTGATTACAGTACTTTAACTTTTAATATCTCATTGATATTTCTAACCTCCTACTTTCTGTTTTAAAGATCTTTATTTGCACATCATCCCACTAACTGTAAACTCCCTGAAGGTATATGAACCCTGTCATGTTTCTTACTGGCTTGCAATATACTGCTTCAGAGTCCAAGCTCTATAACCAGACCCAGATTCAATTTTCACTATTTTCCCAAAAATAAAAGCTAAATTCCAACTATCCCAATTTTGCATTACCTGAATATGCTATGCTATGTCATGTATCTGTCCCTTTTATATATGATAATCCTGCTCCATTTTTCCCCATGCATCCAGCTGGATTCTCACCTGTTTTCAAGATTTAGCCTTATTTATAAACACAGCAAAATTCACTATTTTTCACTTCCTAAGCCATACCACCCCACCCCTACCCTATACACACAGAAAAATCCTGAAAAGTGGATTCTCTTAAATTTAATTTAAATTTAATTGAAAAGAAGAGTTACCTCATATTGTTTTAAAAATGGAATATGGTTTATGTTTTAGCAAGCAGTGGCACCAATACTCAGTTATACAAGTGGTAATTATCTTTAACCAAATCTTTACCTCAAACTCTTATTAAATTACTTCGAAAGATTCACCATCACAAAGAGAAGGTAGAAGGCATACTATAGGAAAGTACTTTCTTGAAGACTTAATCAAATTTTTTTCTGCAAATAATTTTCGATATATTTTTATTGAATCTAAATGAATTCCTAAAAAGTGTACATGGTGGTTGCAGCAGAGTGAGGGAATGCCTAAGAGGTTAAATATATATATAAAGTATATATATCTATATACATATATATATGTAAGTATGGAAGTACATATACAAGATATATGTGTGTGTACTGTGCCTCTACAAATGTAAGTACTATAACAATAAATAGATGGTTACTGTGAGAGACCAAACTTTGGTTTGCTTTAAGAAAGCTGAGTTCATGAGCACTCACTATACTATTTGTAATAACTGATTAGCTAAGTAACTGAGTAATAGTGAATCATAAGCACAAAAGTGATGAAAACATTGCCATGTTTCAAGGATAACAGTAAATCATATTTGTGTCTACAAGATCCTATCAGAAAAAGAAAACTATAACTTTACTACGAAAACATTATAACAAAAACATAATCACTGTAGTGTTTTGTCCTATTTATAAACAAATGCTGTCATAAACAGTCTAAACACAAAAATGTACTTCTCAACCAATATAGCATTTTATAAAGCTGAAGTAGCAAAATTATTTGCAACATTTCCTTATAAAGTAATTTCTTACTTGATCTCCCACTTTTATATTTCTTCACATTTTTATTTCTGCTATAGTCTATTAGCTGTGGTTTTGACTTTGGTTCTCTTAGCCAGCTAATATCAGTCTTGCTGTCATCACATTTATATTCTGTTTCAGTATCACTAAAGATATTTTTCTTTCTCCAATTTGACATAATCTATAAAGAAAAAAAAGCCTTGAAATAGACGAAGAAATTTGTCTTATTATGTATCATGCAAGGTTAAGGTATGCCCACAACACAAACCCAAGTTACTCAGGAAAACTAATTTCTCATTTTTTAACAGTAAGGACTTATCCAAGAAAGTCACTCAGAAATACAGATTAGGGCAGCAATGTTTATTTTAGGGGGCTGCTAATGAAAGCTTAAAACAGTTTACTTCCACAGAGCTATCACCTAGTAAAGTTGGTATATTCTTCTATTATTAGAAGATTACAAACAGTTCAAAGACCATATAAAAAGTCATAATGTAAACATAGGTAATCTCACAGAAATTAAAAATCAGAGTATTTTTATTTTATAGTTCTTAAACTTTAGCATTGAAAACTTAATAGAAATGTTTTTAGCAAAACATGTTAGGATATTATAACTTACTCTTTTATCTTTTGTTTTGAAAGATGGTTCAAGTTCATCATGATTCCTTAAATTCACCCTTAAGTAAAAATACATATTAATTTTAAAATATCTATTAAGACAGTATGCACTAGATCTTGAGTTTTCAGCCTTAACCAGCTATGTAATTCTGGCCAAGTCATTTATTCTCCCTGGCTCAGTTATAAAATAATGAGGCTATTAAAGGACTATTAAATCTTTTAACTTTATAATCTAAGATACACAATTAATACTCAAAGTACTAAGAATCTGGACATTAATTTTTAAAGTCAATGCTGAAGTAACAATCATAATGGGAGTAATTATGACAGTAATATTTTTATTCACTTGTATGTTAAAAATTCCCAGAAAGACTATGAGACGTTTATATGAAGCTACATTATAATCTAATTATAATAAAAACACATACAGTTTCACTGAATTATCCATGCAGGCTTCTCTAGATGTTGCTTGAAATTCTTGTATCTATATGGTAGATAAACATTTTTTAAAAAGTTCTTGTGTAAACAAAAATTTAGCACATAAACATAAAACCTAGTTTCTATCATATCACAGAACAGTAAAATCCAGCAACAGAATCAAGTTTACCATAATATTTTTATTTAAGATGAAAGCTAATAAAATATAATATACTAAAAGCAAAACAAATGTGTATTAAATCTTGAGAGAGGTAAAAAGAAGTCTTTCCTATCTTCCAGATTTTCACTTTTCTCCATTATTCCAAAAGATTAAAAACAAAACAAAACAACAATGAAGTGTAGATATACCTGGGCCGGTTACCCAAATAAACTACTACATATTATAAAAATTTGAGGTGTATCTCTAAGAAGATGTGCATCAAAAACATACACTCACAACGGTATAGTATATCTAAAATATTTAATGAATAACTATATACAAAATAATTGACATCTAGCTTACTCCAAGTTTTATAATAGGCTCGTCAGCTCCATTCAAATTAAAATTGTAAACATCATTCCTGTGAAAATGAAGACAAGTATTAGATGTACAGTAAATATATTTAGATCTTCAAATATGAAGAAAATGAAACAGTTTATTAAAAATTACTTACAATGGGCATTCAGAAGTAACATTAACCAAAGTAGTCTTCAGTTTTCTGTAACTTTTTTTCTGAACTTTTCCCTAAATACAAGAGTTTATATACTGACATTTAAACCTGGACATTACTTGTCTGTGTAAACAAATCACATGTGCAGTTAAATTTTCATACACTTTTCAGTTGTGCACCCACCAATATAAGGCCAGCATTTTAAACATTTTCCCTAATGTAAAATAAAAAATATACTCAAAAGGAATGAAATCACTTCATAAAGAAGTATACACTCCCATGTTCACTGCAGCACTGCTCACTGTATACAAGACATAAAAGGCAAACAACTCTATACATGCACACACAAAGGAATAGTATTCAACGTAAAAAACAGAAAGATTCTGCCATTTCGCACTACAAAGATAAACCTCGAGGATGCAAAAAAAGAAAAGTACTGCCTGTTCTCGTATGTAAACTATAACAAAATGTTGAGCTCACAGAGAGTTAAACGGAGATTGTAACAGTGGAGCAAGCAGAAGGAAAATGGGGGAGAGGGTGGTCAAAGGAAAAAGTATTAATATGTAAGATGAATAAATTTAGCCTAGAGGTTTATATAGAACGTGAGTAATATGGTTAATAAAATATACTATGTTAAGGAAGGTATTTCTATAATACACACAGAAAGGGTAGCTGTGTGAAATAATGTTAATTTACTTGAGTAGGTAACCATTTTATTAGGTAAAATCATGTTATATAATCACTTAAATATACATATAATGAAAATGTCAAACATCAACTTTTAAAAATATTGAAGACTTAAATACATGTACTAACTAAAAATGGAAAATATAGATCTAATATAAAATCCTTGTCTTTAAAATTTACTGATGAATATAAATGATCATCTTACTAGTACTCCATAAATTAAATTTTAGTGATTCTAGAACCAGAAAATAAACATATTTTTACTTTGTTTCATACTGATTTGCTTAACACTCTTAAGAGAAGTTAAGGTTTATGTGCAATTTCATGTGAAAGAGTTAACATTTTTAGTGGCAACTATTTGCAACATTATTCACATAGCTTACAATTCAACCAGATCACAAAGTAATGAGGCAGAAAATAAAATTTAATAATATTAGTATTGTTCTATTAAATACATTAACTTTGATTAGATAAATTAATATCACTAAATTATTAATTATTGGTCAAAAATAAACGGAAGACAAATATCCAGTAAGTTAAAAATAATAAAACCTAAAATATTTATCTAATGACTCACTTCAATTTGAAATGTTGGCAATTTTATACAGAATTATTTACATTATTCTAAAAAGTATATCCTCCAATATAGTAATTCTCTGATCACTTACCTATCTTACTGTTATGGCTTACATCCAGATGTCCCCCCATAGCCTCAACATGTGCACAGGTGGGAGATTTTGGAAGGTGACTAGATTATACATAGGGGCTTATAGCTGACTTGTTGTTTGGAGGTGGGGTCTGAATGGAAGAGGCGGGTCACTTCAAGCATGGCCCTGAAGGGCCTGTCTCCCTTCCCTGGCTCCTCCCTCCACTCTCTTCTTCCTGGCTGCTTCAGAGGGGCAGCTTTTCTTCTGCCATGCCCTTATGTCATGCTGTCCTCCCTTAGAGCCAGCCAACTATGGACTGAAATCTGAGCCGAAATAAACCCCTCCTCCTTTAATTTGTGGGTATCAGGGTCTGTGTCTCAGCAACAGAAAAATGACTGAGACATTTATCCTTTCCAATATTATTTTTCTGTGTTCAGATACAGATATTCATTCATCAGCTATATACCAGTATATACTAGACGCTACAAGAAATATAAAAATGAGTAAAGACATTAAACAAAATATACAAATGTAAGTAAAAATATTACAAAGGATATAAAGGAGTAAATGTGTTAAAGAAGATACAAAGAAAACATGCCATACTTGTAAGTCTGGCTTATGTTGCTTAACATGATGACCTCTACTTCTATCAGTCTGACATGAAAGTGAAAGGGAAACTGTTTAGGATGGGAGTCAAGGATAGAGGGGAGAGAGGTGGAAGAGAAAAGGCAGGGGAAGATATGATTTAAAGCACATTATACCCAAGTATGAAAATGTCACAACAAAATCCACTGTCTTGGGGCTGGGGATTTAGCTCAGCGGCAAAAGCGCCTGCCTGGCAAGCACAAGGTCGTGAGTTCGGTTCCCGGTACCAGAAAAAAAACCAAAAAAAAAAAAATCCACTGTCTTGTATAGTTAACATGTGCTAATAATAATTTTTTTATTATTTTAAAGAGTAAAAGAAGGATAACATACTAATAGGGAAGCTTACCAAATTACAGACAAAGTGGTAGGAAATTATCAATGGTTGTTGTTTTACATATTGTTATCTACAAGATAGTTTCTCAGGAAAACAAATAGACAAATAATAGTGAGTTACAGACCAAAGTGGTAGGAAATTATCCATAGTTGTAATATACTTTGGTATCTTCAAAGTGGCTTCTAAAGAAAATAAAAAGAGCTATACATGAGTGACCAATTGAGGGGCTGGGGATTTAGCTCAGCGGCAAAAGCGCCTGCCTGGCAAGCGCAAGGTCGTGAGTTCGGTTCCCGGTACCGGAGAAAAAACCATGAGTGACCAATTGAATAATCATTGACTATTCTCAATCCTTGTTGTAGGAAACACATAATAATAAACATACAGGGGCTGGGGATTTAGCTCAGCGGCAAAGCGTCTGCCTGGCAAGCGCAAGGTCGTGAGTTCGGTTCCCGGTACCGGAGAAAAACAAAAAAAATAATAAACATACATCCATTTATGAAATAGCATAGGGTATCTGCTAATAATAATTTAAAACCTTTTAAAAACATCCAAATAAAGGTACAAAGATACTTCCAAACAATTACACTATGGAAAAAGGTGTGAAAAGAAAAAATACCTCCAATAATCAATATTTAAGAATGCATGAATTATTACAGTTTCAGGATCCTTGCCTTGTTTTTTTTAAGTCAGAGCACCTTGGAACATGTTTATGAAGAAGAGAGACTCTGAGCAAGGTTTGTAGGGAGGAGTAAGATCTTGGTAGAAAGAAAAGAAGTGAAAAACCCTATTTACTCAGTTTGAAAGTTCTTTCCAAAGGGGGAAAGATAATAAATGAATACTTAAGGAAGACACTCAGAGAAACTCAAGCTATCCTATTTCTGCCAAACAAAATATGTCTAGAAAACTAACATTTTAAAATAACACAATCTTTTAAGGGACTAGTGAGCCATTCTATGTCTCCATTCAATTCATTTAACAGCAGGGATGAAAGATAGATGGTTTCTGAGCATGGGAAAGACATGATTGGTGCTGTGTGCTTCAGGAAAAAAGTAAACTAGTCTTGAATATAATCAATGGACTCTCACAGAGACATAGTATAGGTAAAAGAAATTATATAAAGACTTATATAACAATCCAGTAATCATAAGTTAGAACTGAAAATAAAAGTAACAGGAGTTAGTCTCACCAGGAAAAGAGATTCAAGAGAAAATTACTGAAGGCGAAACTCAAAACTTAAGCAAATTAAGTGGACATAGAAAGTAACTTTAAGTAATAAATACTTGTTATTTTAAGATTTGGTGAATAATACGTGTTTTTAACAACATTAGTACTCCCGGAGGATGTGTCAGAACAGCTATCAAAAAACACAGAAGTAAGGATATAATGAGTAATACATAAAGAAAGCCAAACCACTGGGCTTACATAAACGAAGTACTTTCTTTGAAAAACAGAACAGAAAGTTATGGAGCTATTTTGAGTATTTGCCACTAAGCATGTCAGCTGTCATATCCATTTAGCAATATTCTCAAAACCTTAAGTATAACTACATATTCCTACTATTTTCATCTTACTAATATTTTAGTGTTTACAGTCAAATACCATAGAATTCAAATATAAGTTTTGTAGTTAAATAATTGATACCTACCTTACCATTCTGTAGGTCAGACTTGTTTGAAAAACCACTACAAAAAGGATTTTGACAATTTTTAAAGTGTTATTAAATATCAGTAGCATAATTTTCATAAACGTCATTTTTGTATGGAAAAACATTTGAGTCACTAAATCTATATCCAACATTCTATAAATGGCCAAAATATGACAATCTTATTATGGTATTTTTGTAGTTTTGCTCTCAGTAAATAGTAATTATAATACTGAATTCTAAGTTGCACCATTAATGTAGCAAGAAAGAAGTAGCAAACAATTCAAAATGAATGGTTCTGTGTCATGAAAGTCATTTTTAATTATACTATTCTATTAAGGCCAGAATTTGAATTAATGGTCAATGAGTAGATGTTTTATAATAAAATAACTTTCAGAAGGATTTAAAGCAAGGAATATATTATTTACTACATGAAAGTAATTCATTTCCTCTTATTTAAACATCATATTCCATTAAACAATATATTTAAATGTATTACTTTTACTTGTTAATAGATTCCATAAATACAATTCTAAAATGTTTATATCCTAAAAATTTATTTCTGAAATGGTATATTAATATTGTGTTTCTGATACTTTATAAAATCTAATCAGACACTAGAATAGCATATTCCCAAATTTATTTCCTTTTCTACATAAATAGTTACTATTCATAAAAGTAATAAGAAACTATGAGGTTTCTACTGGAAAATTACACTATGTGAATGTATATTTGAAACTTTTAAAAACTGTGTAAAATAATTTAGTTGCATTTATCATAAAGATATTTGTCTAAAATTTATGAACATACCTGTCAATCAAAGGCTCATTCAATCTTCTTGTGGGCTTTATGTCATCTTTTGGTTTGTACCTCTTATTAATTTGGTTTATCAAGGATTCTGCTGCATCAGTAAACCCCTTCCCCTTTGACTTTTCTCTCTGAAACAATTTAGAAGTTACATTAAAACTCCACCAGTTAACTTTCAAAGGAAAGTAAAGGTGAGAAGAGTATTTCTAATTATACAAGTCCTAGGGAGGAGGAGGAAAAATAAAAAGAAATAAACATGCAAGAGGTGTATACCAGTTTCCTACGATAAATACACCTATTATGTATTACAAACATATACTAATTATAAAAGGTAAGAACGAAAAAAAATTTTTTAAGGGGCTAGGAATTATTTAATGAGTTTGGGCATTGTAAAGCATTAATTCATTCAAGATAGTCTTTTAACATATAGAATTGTGGAGAATAGTGTGTAGAATTTGCATGTGAATTCTAGACATGTGAATAAAGAAACAACAGCCAGTGTTTTGGAAATGTCAATTAAATTGATAAACTTCTAGCCAGGTTAACTAAGAAAATCAGAGAAAGAGAAATTATTATTATCAATAATGAAAGATAGTATGTACTTTAAAGGACAACAAAGAAATATTGTGAATTCCATGTTCACAAATTTGATAACCTAGATTAACTGCACCAATTCCTTGAAAGATGCAATTTGCCAAAACCTATCAAGGAAAACTAATCATCTGAATATGCCTCTATGTACTAAGGAAATTTAATCAATAACCTTTGAAAATAAGATGCACTAGGCACAGATGGTTTAGTGGTGAATTATATCAAATTATATCAATTAGAAAGAAACTGTATCAATTCTCCAGTCTTCTACCAGACAGAAACTGAGGAAATACTTCCTAACTTGTCCGATAAAGTCATTATCACACTAGTGCCAAAACTAAAGACATTGTAAAAAGGAGAAGTACAGGCCAGTATCTCTCACAGACACAGATGTAAAAATTCTTAATAAAATATTAACAAATCAAATCTAATAATGTATAAAACAAATCATTCACCAAGTGGTATTTATTCCTGATAAGCTAGGCTGACTCATCATTTGAACATCAGTGTAATTCACGTCAACAGGCTAAAGGAGAAAAATGCAATCAGTAGAAGATGCCCAAAGTGTCCGATAAAATCCAATGCCCATTCAAAATAAAAACTTTTAATAAACCAGGAATATGGGAGAGAACTTCAACTTGATAATGAACATCTAAAAAAAATTACAGCTAGAATGAGAAACTAGGTCCTTCCCTGCTAAGATGAGAAACAAAGCAATCATACTCAATTACTCTTTTCCAACACCGTACTAGAAATACTACTAAGACATAAGACAAGGAAATGAAAGGTATACAGTTTGTGAAGGAAGATAACTGTCTTTGTTCATGGATGACCTCATAGTCTAAGTAGAAAATTGCGAAGAGTTAACAACAGCAACAAACTACTAGCTCTAGTAAACAATGACACCATGGATATCTAAGATATAAGGTTAATACACAAAAGTCAATCTGTTTCTATTAAGCCCGTAATAAACTTTAAGATACTATACAATTTACAGTAGCACTCCCCAAAATTAAATGCTTACATATAAATCTAACCAAATATGCACATGAGAAAAACAATACAATTCCGGTTAAATAAATCAATGGACATCTAAATAAATGGAGATATTCCACATACATGTAATTAGAAGTTCAACACTGCCAAGATGTTAGTTCTTCCTAACTACCTATAGATTTAATTGAATCTGAAAACCCCTGCAAACTATTTTGTGATTGTCAATAAATTCATCCAAAGTTTATAGAGAAAGGCAAAACCCCAAAATATAATGCTAAAGAGCAAAAGTTAGAGAACTGTGTTACCTGACTTTAAGACTTACACAATATCTACAGTAATCAATCAAGACACTACAGGTACCAAAGAAAAAGAATCAGAAGAATAGTCCACAAATAGAACCCCACAAATATAGAAACCCCACTGATGTTTGACACAGAAGTAAAAGTAATTGTTATGGTTTGTGTCTAGATGTCCCCTCAAAGCCCAAGCAGTCACAGGAGAAGGAGTGCTTTTCAGAGGTGGCTGAATCTAGAATGTGTGATGCTGGGATTAAGAGTGTGTAATCAGTTAAATGATTGGCTTGGCACTGCCGTGGGTGACCCAGCAGCCTAGACTGAGAACAAAAGGGGCAGAAAGATGCTGTTAAGGTCCCTTGTTTTTTTTTGCTGTCTTCCGCCACCATGAACTGTTGCCCCTTTACCCTGTGTCACTCTGTCTTGCAGCCAGCCAATTATGGACTCAAACCTCTACAAATTCTGAGCTAAATAAGCCTTTCTCTTTTTAACTTTATTGGTTATTCTGTCTCAGCAATGAGAAAAGACGGACAGCAATTCAAGGGAAAAAGGACAGTCTTATCACTAAATAGGATTGGAGCAACTGGACATCTACATAGCCAGAAAGAATCGTTTCTCAGACTTTCAACTTTTTATACAAATGAACTTAAAATGGATCAGAGGTCTAAATGTAAACTACTAAAAAAATAAAACTCCTAGAAGATGACGTACTTTCGAGAAAAGCTGGGTTTGGGCAGTGCCTCTTTACATAAAGAGCGCAAGCTATGTAAAAAATTGAGAAGTAGGCCTTCATTAAAATTAGAAACTTCTGTTCTGTAAAATGGACACTGTTTAGACAGTGAAACAAAATACAGACCAGGAAAAATATATACAGCATTTATCTAATGAAGAACTTGTACTTAAAATATGTAGAAAATTCTTAAAACTCAGTAAAAATAACAACAGGCAAAATTTTAAATGGGCAAAAGATCTTAATAGACAACTTGTTAACAAGTCAAGTCATACACATCAAATGACAAAAATATGGAAAGATGTTCAATATCGTACATCACTGGGAAACAGCAAAATAAAACACCTCACGATAAAAAGCCATTCTATTTGTGTTAATGGCTAATTCTAATTATTACTCTAATTATCCATGACAAGGGCAAAACTAACTGCTGGCAAGGATGCTGATCAATAACTCTCATTCACTGCTGCTAAAAATATAAAATGGTACCTTTGGAAGCTAACAGTTTTGGGGTTTGTTTTACAAAACCAAATACTGTATACTTTTATTGTATGATCTAGCAATAATGTTTCTGGGTATCTTTCCACTAAGTAAGTTGAAAACTGATGTCCACACAGAAAAATTGCACACAAATCTTCATGGCAGCTTTAGTTACAACTGCCAAACATGGAAGCAACCAAGATGTCCTTCAATAGACGAAAATGAACCTTAATAAATCCACAGAACAAAATATTATTCATCAGGGGCTGGGGATTTAGCTCAGCGGCAAAAGCGCCTGCCTGGCAAGTGCAAGGTCATGAGTTCGGTTCCCGGTACCAGAGAAAAACAAAAACAAAAACAAAAAAAAAATATTATTCATCAGTAAAAAGAAATATGTAATCAAGGTATAGAAAGATGGCAAAGCCTTCAATTCATTTGCTAAGTGGAAGAAGCCAATCTGAACAGACTACATACTATGTAATTCTAACAAAGTGGTATTCTGGAAAAGACAAAACTATAAAGGTAGTTTAAAAAAAAAAAGCAGGGACTCCCAGGGTTTTGGTGGGAGGAATTAATAATTGGAACACAAGGGAATTTTAGAGTAGTAAAGGGATCCCATATGATACTGCAGTGTGGATCTATGCCACCACATGTTTGTCAAAGCACACAGCATATAAAATAGTAAGAATGGACTCTAACATAAAACTGTGGGCTTTAGTCAATAACCATGTTTCAGTAATGGCATCAATTATAATACATGTATCAAAGTAATGCAAGATATTAATGGGAAAAATGGATAAGGAAGTACATGAGAAGTCTCTACTTAGTCTGTAAGGATAAAATAGTTCTAAAAAGTCTATTAACTTTTTTCAAAAAATGTAGGGATTAGAAAACATTTTAACATTGGCATATTTTTAGATAATTTAGTTTTTAAAATGCTAACAATACTTTCAAAGATAGAAGTCTCCTGATTTTATATGTATTTTTCTGGCTATCAGGCATACGAATTTTTAGTATTATAAAACGAGCAAAATAAGCTGCTACTTCAGCCATTTTAGAGTCCATATGTTAGTATAAATAATAGTTATTGAGTTATCACTTACTACTCCTTTCTGAGATTATTAGAGTGAAGACATGGTTTACCTGTCTTGATTAAAAGAAAATCTCTTAAAAAGTATATGGGTTCCAAATATCCAGTATAATGATAGCCAGCTTAGGAATTCTCAACTACTAAAATACAGAGGGGTTCTATTGCTCTGTGCTAATATCACAAGAAGAAAGACAATGTTTAGTAGACGACTACAGTACATCAGAGCAGAGTGATCCATGGGACTGGCAGGAAACACTGTATAATGATACAAAGTGTAACCCTATTAGGGAATGAAGAGAACTTATGAAAACACGAAGATAGATAATGTATAGAACAGTCAAGAGCACAGCTCAGATGAGATAATCAACCAGGTTTCTGTGCTGCTGGGGGCGCGGACAGAGGAATGACTAGCTTAGTAAAATTCTGTGAAAGGATTCTAACCCTGCTACTCCACCAAAAGTAAGTTTAAAATTTAAGGAGAGATCTGTGTTTGAACCAGAACTTCACTTTCCCTAGGACTGAGGGAACTAAATGGCAGTGAGAGCTTAAAAAGAACAGAACAGCATGCAAGACATGAAGAAAAACAGGATCCAAAAGTATGACTATAAAAGAAAACAGTCAAATTAGGCATAAAAGTGAGTTGTAGAACGAAAAAAGTGAGTTGTAGGTTAAAAAAATTTGAAAGGCGATTGTCATGACAAATGAAATCTTATTACATGCAATGACTGTGAATTAGCTATTAAATATCATTTGCACATTCAGATACTCCGAGGCATGATGAACATTCACACCGATTTTAGGAATTTAGTATGTAGGAATTAATAGCATTTCCCAAGATGAATAAATATAAAAACCTATAAAACCTTGATTATTTTAAGACTAGCAAAAAGTAGACTGAACTATTGGCAAGTGAAACGTATTCTAATTAAAATTTTTTCTTGGAGCTGTGGGAAAAATTTATCTTAATCGGCACCTTTATATAAATGGCAAATAAGATAGCTTTTATAAATACTAAAATTTTATTCTGTGCAACTATGATGTACAGTAGTTAAAACTGTCTTGGTGAGATTAGATAATCAATCTGAAGAAGAAAGTTCAGTCTCCAATAAGGAGGAGCAATAGTTACAGAAGTCAGTTTTTTTCTAATTCACTTATACCATTTCCTATAAAACCTTGTCATGGTTTAATGCATCACCTAAGAAATGTTTGGCATGTTACATGTAAAGCTGTGCTAGGATATGCTAAGATTATTTTTATCCATCATTTCTTTGAAATGATGAATGAAAACAAATGATGAATAAAAATAATCTTTGCTCTGTACAGGGTTACAGTCACAGAGGAAAAACATAAAAATAACCATTTATACAAAAAGGTAAGAATTATGAGGAAGAGAAACAATTCAATATGCATGTACAAAAGAAAAAGAATAGGAGGACCACCACCATATCATAAAAGAAAAACTGCTGAATTCACATGTTCTATACATATTTATATGCCTGACTTATGCCAAATACCACTAGGGCTGGGAATGAAGAGAGGTGAAAGGGAAGTTTAATAAGGAGGAACTCACTTTCAGCATCTAAGTGCTGAATTAAAGAACAAGACGTTAAACATGCCAAATCTGCAGTAGCCAATCACCTTCTTTAACTTTGTTAAGTTATCTAGTAGACATCTTATAAGTAGGAAGAAATAACACTAAAAGCTCACCATGTTTTGTTTCAAATCCAAGGAATCAAGCTCAGAAGTCACTTCTCTCTCTGATTTTCTCTGACTTCTCACATTTTTTCTAGGAGAAGGGCTTTTATCACAAATAGTAGCATTCATATCTTTTGACAATATGTATTTCTTCCTATAGATCAGAGATTCTTCAACTGTCTTATTTAGGAGAACTGACTTAAAAGTAGTTTCAGATTCAATATGCCAATCACTCTGTTTAGTATTTTCAGTATTATTTTGTACTGAGTATTTAGGATGATTTTGTTGTTCACTATTTCTTTTGCAGACTTCTGCTTTATTTATTTTGTTGTGCTCTCCTACTTCTTTCTTATATTTTCCCTTTACTGTTTCTTCAGAATCATGATCTGATATTGAAGAGGATGATTTTTGTTTAGTATGTTTCTTATTGATGCCAATACCTAGGAGAAAAATGAAAAATTAACTCTCATAAATAAATGTATAATAACTAAAATGAGTAAAAAATAAAAACGTTTATTAAGACAATGAAGAAAATTATTTCCCTGAAATAATACTGCATACAGACAAGAACATGTTGCACCTTGATTAAATGTGTCTTCTGATGAAGTACTGGCTATTTGGTTACTACACAGCTTAATGTTTGACACAGGTGTCCAACAAGCCCATTTGGAGTGCATTTTACTTTCACAGTTATTGTCTAAAACATGAGGAAATCTAGAAAATAAATTCATTTTATTATAAAGCATGAGCATATATTTTATAATATCTTATAGCTTATAATCTAGACTTTTTATTTAGTTAATGTTTATTGAAAACAACTTGTGAACAGAAAACTATGGCAATATTTTCATTAAATCACAACTAAAATTACAATCTTTAATATGCCTGATCATATTAAAAATACTAGAAAAATGTATCATCACGGTATCTATCTTTTTGTCTACCTAAATATTTCTTACATATTTTACACATTCTACTGTGAGTTTAAAGTTTTCATAACACTACATTATTTTTTTAAAATTTCATTCATTTAAAGTCTCTCAATTGGGAAAGAACTGGCTGATAATGAAAAAAAGGAGATTATTCCTCATATGATATCACAATAATACATCAGTGATGATTAATGCTATAACTAATACTACATTCAACTGTTATATCCATCTAAAAATAATATATGATAAATAATATGATGTATTTTCTTGTACTTACACAGGTTTATCTCTTTCTCCCTCTGCTTGTGTATCAGGATGAAAATCCTCGAGTTTATCTAAATAAAACAAAAATCATAACATTTCCATGCAGTTGATAGAGTACTAATGGGGGTTAGTATAGAATTCTATAAAAGTTCAAATATTGGGATGAACAAATTGATTGATCCCGCTCCTTTGGACTCAAATTTATTAGGAAGAGATTATACTGTATTTCTTTGTAACCTTACAAATTCCCCATGCAAAGCCAAACATAGCCATTATAAAAGGTTTACTTTCAAATCAGTGAGAGCTGGTGTGGTTGAAGAGACATATAGAAAGAAGTACTCTATATATACATTTTAAAGCGAATAAATCTGAAATGTACTTACTTAAATTTTCGTTTTGGAATCCAATGTCCTTATTTTGTGTCTTTTCTACAATTTTTGCAGTTTTGATGTGCTATAAAAACACAGGAAACATATTAATTTTAATTAAGGCATTTTATGAAAATAACTTTTAAAGTTCTTAATGTCTGAAAAAAATAAGTTATCCTTGGTATGAAACTTGGATAGTATTTACATTTCATAAACATTATGCCCTTTTTAGAATACTGCCTACCCAAAACACATAAAATAACTTTCACTGCAAGAGAAGAGGAAAAAGATCCTTCAAATTTTTAATCACATACATAGGTAGACTAAAAATTCAATTTCATCAGTTAGTAATCATTTCTAAAACTTCCATGGAACATTTCTATATTGTTTTCATAGCCTGCATCTCTGTCCTTTTAACTAAAGTCCATAGAAGAGTCGGAAATTATGAAGTATTGTTTTTAAATGTTTGGTCACTACCCAAGTAGCTTCTTGCCTACATCAAGCTTTTCTTTCCACAGCCAGATCCACACTTAATCCAGATCAAATAAAAATCTGCTATCACTCTCAGATAATATATTGATTTGCCCAAAATATTTTACCTCATCTTAACTGTCTTTCCTACTTAATCAGTAGTTCTCTACACTAGGAGAGAAGCAGTTACAGAAATATGCAAGTGTGCTTTTTTGCAATGACGTAACGATTGTATGAACAATAAGCACAGTACTAGCTGTTACAATATTCAGGATCATGCTACACATCTAAAAATAGTGCCTTTACTAAGAACCACTCAGGTAGACAACAATTAAAACTAGTACGTTGATTATTTTTCTAATACTTTCGATTCTTCGACCTCATCTTCTTTGACATACCATTTAAATTTTTTAAAGGCCACCATTTGCTTTTTTTCTTATTTTAAAAATAAAAGGAGGAAAACATTGACAGACAGACAACCTTTTACAAAATAACTAAAGAACAGTACAGACAATACCATTCGCTTTTTGTACCTTTACACCAAGACTACATATACCTTGAGAAAACTGCACATACTTAGGAATTAACATGATAAAATTCAGTCTTAAATTTAAACTGAATCCTCGACTTTGTCTAATATTTGTAGTTATTCTTATGCTTCCCCTTTCCTCCTATTACAATTCTTTGTGTCCCTACTTCCTACTTAAATGGATCCCCATGAGAAATTCACCACCTTCACCATCTTTGTTTTTTTTTTTTTTTTTTTTTTTTGTATTTTGGTTTTTTTTTTTTGTTTTTTTTGGTCTATTCCCTCTTCCCTTTTTTGGGTCTACTATTTTTCATTGTATTTTGGTTTTTTTCTCTGGTACCGGGAACCGAACTCACGACCTTGCGCTTGCCAGGCAGGTGCTTTTGCCGCTGAGCTAAATCCCCAGCCCCCATCTTTGTTTTTTTATCCCCTCTCTTTTCTGTCCCTTTGATTACCCAGAATACCTTCCTCCTCAAGATCCATTTTATTAGCCTTTATGGATCCTTCAGAAATTAATTCACCCTCCATAGCTCCTTAAAAGGCCTCTGTCCCCTCCATTTTCCCCTCCACCTCTAAGAACATCAGGCACCTGCCCCCTTATTGGGCTCTTATGCATTCTATATACACTCCAGACAATGCTTACACAATGGTGTAATCTTTTTGTCTAATCCTATACTAGATTTTGAGATACTTAAAGACAAAGTGTATTTGGATCACACAATTCTGTGTCTACCAGGGTGTTTCTCACAGGAGATACTTAATTATACAATTAAAGAATGATGGTAAGTTCACTCTCCTAAATGTTGAAACTAGCATTTTAATGGTGGGTGTTCATAAATTCTAATTACAGTAAACAAGTCATACATCAGCAAGACCTTACTTTCAAGGACAATAAATGATAACTGGAAAAAATACTTAGTTTTGTAAGCTGCTTGGAAAAAAACTCAATATATGTATTAGTATAGTAACTTGAAAACTAGTTTTTTATAATTAAGTTTATTGGTACAATTTAGATATGCATAATGATCACATTCACCATAGGGAATTTGTACCTGTAAAAGATACATCTTAGTTCCTCACTTGTTGCCACTTGCCCTCCCTTCTCTTCAACCCCAAAGGGAAAAGAAAAGAATGAGGAAAAAAAAGATAAAATGAAAACAAATCTTTGTAAATAAGGAGGGGAAAACACTTTATTTTTAAGATACTTTCAAAGTGTAAGTACCTTGTTTGTATTAGCTCTTCTATTTCTTTCTTCTGATGGTCTAGATTTATGTGATACAGTGTTATCCACTTCATTTTCTGATGTAGAAATATCAGCTTTCTCTGCAGAACTCATCATTTGTAGTGGCGGTTTAACTTTTCTTCTTTGTGGTGTCGCTAAAAGGATACAGAATGACTAGATTTTTACTTTCTATTATGAGATACATTTGAGATGATAAAGGTAAGACAGGTTCTAGAATGGGTCTACGGTTTTTGGCTTACATGAAAATAATATAGGTGCCATTTACAAAGGAAAAAGAGACAGAAAAATCATCAGAAAGGACAATGTATTCAATTTTGGCCTTATTAAATGTGAAGAATCTGTCACACATTAGACAATTGCCCAGTAGGCAACTAAACTTTTGGAATGGAAAGGAAACATGAGAATGTCATAAAGAAAAGATTTTATTAAAGGCACTAGTATACCGCATCATTCTTTCCTTTTATTTAACTCTGTGTGCCAGGAATTGTTAAATTTTTCACAAAGATCTGTTGTTGAGTGATTTTTATTTAATCCTTTAAACTTGATGAGACACAGACCTTAGTTCATATTATATAAAAAGTTAGTTCTAACATTAGCTAGGGGATAATTTATACGAAGTATAAACTGGGAATGGGGAACTAAGACCAAGTATTCTGATCACTTAAATGTTTTAGTCCGTATGTTATATTGCCTCTTGCTTAAACTGTTAAAAATTATGAATGCTGGATGTTACTACTTTGCAAACTATTTAAATACTCATTTCATCTTTATCCTTAAAAATACATTCATACTTCATATTTTATCAATTTCTGCATCTCTAAATTCTCCTATAGGTAAATTATATCTAGCATGTCCCTGAATTAAAAATACCTTCTTTACAATATTGATTAAAAATCTTTGAAGACTATAAAACTTACATGCGTTGATTAAAAGTACTGGACTTCTCACAGTGTATCTATCTGCACCAGGAACAATCATTGACGCTTCAGACATTTTTCTTTTGCTAGGAGTATTTATCTTAAATTGTGAGAAACAACCACAGTAAATACACATTCTCTTTTAAAACTAAAAATATGGCAATTTTACTCAGAACACTATGCTTTGACAACATTCAAAAGCGATATATATCGCGCATATATATGGGTTTTTTAAAAATAACACAACAGTCAGAAATTTCCATGTTTTAGACTAATTTGAAGGGCTTATCCTCATGTTTGGCACTGAATAAGTAGGCCAACCAAGTAAGAAGCATTGTTTTAAAGACTATTTATAGAATATCCAGACTTAGTACAATACAGTAACTTCACTGTTGTTCTAAAGAGTACTTACACAACATCCACACTTATGCAATTCAGGAACTTTATTTATTTTTGGTTCTTTGAGATAGAGTCTTACCTATGTATTACAGGATGGCCTAGAACTCACTATGTAGCCCACAGTGGCCTCAGTTTTGCAGCAATCCACCCACCTCAGGGTCCCAAGTGCTGCCATTATAGGCATGCACCACCATGCCTAGCTAATACTGTAATTTAATATGCAAACATCAATTACTTTACTGATAATGTATTTAGCTAATGACTTGCAAATTCCTGTTTTAACATGAGGATATTTGCATATATAGCTATATTAAAGTATCTGAATACTTTCGTAATATTAAGCATTCTTGAAAACATTCACACATCATTGAAAACTGAATAATCTGTGTAGACTAAACTGCCTTTGGAGTAAAGCAGTTACAGGAATTCAGAGATTCAGTGGCACATGGTTACTGGCCCCATGAAAGAGTTATATTTTTCCACATCATCCCAGAGTAATCTATAAGAGTAACAAAAGCAGATAAGTAGGGACTACAAAGTATAGAAGTTTCACAGAGTGCCATAAAACAAGTAGATGGTGACTTACTATATACAGCAGAGGCACAGGAGAGCTTTAAAATGACAGGGCTGTGAACAGCTATGTAGTGGGATGTGAGGGACAGGTGGTGAGGATAAGAGGATAAGAAAATTTTAAAATTAATGAGAAAAGTTTAAGATAAAATAAAAACAAACCTTTGTAAACAAGGAGGGGAAAACGCTTTATTTTTAAGATACTTTCAAAGTGTAAGTATCTTGCCTGTATTTATTATTTAAAATATTTTTAAATTACAATTCTTACTGTTGTAGTTAATAGGGTTTGAAAAGTTATTCATATAAATGCCTCAGTTAATCCTTACTAAAAACACAGCGGGCATGTATCAATAGTGTGTTTTCCCAACTTTGATGTCCTTTAAGACCTTTCCCAGTTGGTGATCTGGTAAGTTTAAAGTGGGGTCTAAAAAGATCCTTTTCAATAAACACCCAACATGATTCTGATATACAGACAACAAAGCTAGCTTTTATGATCTAATTGTCTAGAGGAAATGAAATCTGACATTTTTAATTTAATTAAAGACACAAAACTAAAGGAGAAAATACTGAGCAACAAAAAAACATGTCAAAATGTATGGTGAGACTGACAGCTGTCTAAGGGTGAGAAATCAGTTACGAAAATTTCCATGAAAATTACGAAAATTTCCATGAAAAAAAGGACTATGATGTGAGACTTGCATTACATGAATAAAGGTTAAAAAAAAGGTGAATGAAGGTGAAGGTCTAGACCCAAGAATGACAACAGCATACAAAGGGTCAGCAAGGAAATGACCTTCCTACACACTAAAACTGTAAACAGAACGAGCAAATTTTAAACTCTGCATTAAAATTTACTAAGTCAGTGGGATAAGCACAGAGATCATAAAGCTCTGCGAGGAAAAGAATGTTCTCAGGATACCGATATTTCAGAAAAATCACTAGTGCACCAGAGGAGGCTAAGAGAATGAAGCAACAGTGTTAAAGACCAATTTAGAAGTTATAGTATCAACCCAGGTATGCTGAGATGAGCAATGGGAAAAAGAACAAGGAAGAAAGAATATGAGAAACATTATGAAAGGACAGCCTTTACCTTATTGGTTCTAGATATGGGAAAACAAGAGGCTGGTATCCATGATATCATCAGAAAAATTATGGTAGTTTTACTGAACTTATGAAAAGAAATGCTGATTTGAGGCAAAAAAATAGTGTTTGGGGTTAGACTTCAGGAAAAGAGCTAGAGAAACATAAAAAAGAAAAACATTCAAACAAGAAATTGAAATGTGACTATAGAACTCTGAAGACAAGTCTAGACACTTAAAAATGATAAATGCAATGGTAAATTAAAATAAGTTCAAATTATGCACATTAAAAAATTTCTGCAAGAAAGACAAGATTTTCAGAAGGCTTGGTATAAAAACCTCAAAAAAAGTGGAGAGAGAAATATGTTTGATGTAGTAACAGAAGTAGGAAGTAAATCAGGGTACTAAAAAAAAGTTGAAGGAGGAGAGGACTTAAGAAAGGACCTTCAATAATATCAAAGGTCCTAGCCAAGATGGAAAAAAGGCTAAGATGTGATTCTACTGGATATGGCCTAGAAAAAGTTTTCAACTGAATAAGAGAAAAAGGAGTAAGAAAAACTACTTCTTTCTTCATATAAACAAACAGAACACAATAAATTTATACTATACGTTATAGGAAGAGCAAAAATAAACCAGAAAGGGTAAATGGAACAAAATGGTAGCTAGTCTCCTATTATCTCTAATTTAGAATGCATAAGCATAAAGTATAATAGATCTTGTCTTAATTCCTAACCCCTACACATATATGTAATCTGCTAAAAATAGTACCTTCTGATGACTATTTTATTTTTTTTCTATTTTTAAAATTTATTTTTAAAATAACGGAAAAATATTAACAGACATCCATTTACAAAACAGCGTAAGAACAACACAGGCAATACTGAATTACAGACAAAGAGGTAGGAAATTAAAAATGGTTGTTGTATTATATATTGGTATCTTCAAAGTGGTTTCTCAGGAAAACAAATATAAGCATACAAGATTGATCAAATAATTAATTATAAACTGTTCCTTTCAGTAAAGCGGTAGAATTCAGTAGTACAACTATGTTAGCTATCCTGTATATACACATACTCATAATTTCCCCTTCTTTTCTCTTTTCCCCCTGATGACTATATTTTAAAAAGGGATCAAGATCATTAATATATAAATTCTAGATACTTTTTTCTGTACTTATAAGTAGAATGATTATAAAAATTTTTTTTTTTTGGCATTGGGTATCAAACTCAGGACCTGGAGCTCGCCAGGCAAGATGCTGTGCTGCTGAGCTATATATCCCTGGCCCCCGTAACCGTTTTGATACTATACTTACCTCTGGCTGACAATTTTTTCTGTCCCCTTGGTTACTGATACATTTCAGAGGGCCAGCGAAATCCTTGTGGGAGTTAGGTTTTTCTTTTAAATTAGTGAGATCTTCTTCAGTGTTTGAGAACTGACTTTCTGGCACGAGAATCTGTTAGAGAAAGCAGAAACAAGTGTTTTCAAAAATGAGAACTGTAGGAAGTTCTGAAAAACTATTGACTGTCTTAACACAGCTCCTATTCACCTACATCTATAAATATTAACCCCTTTCCCTTTTTAGTCTATATACTGATTTTTATGATGTGACCCAACGAAAAAATTCACTTTTGCAAACAAGTTTTACCACTAATGGAAAACATATGCCTTTAATTTTTAAAGTTACTAAAATTGGCATTTATCAATAATTCTCTGCTCTCTGTATTAAAATAATCATTAATAATTTTTAAAATACCATGTTTTGTTAGAATACCACTTACATTGATACCATTTATTTTTTAGACATTCACCCTCCAATATCAACTTTACTATTGTGCTTTTAGTCTTACACTCTGTCCAATGGTACAAGTAAGTCAGAGACATACCTGTGATCCACTTGCATCAAAAAGTATATGCACAGCTGTTTTGGCGACTGAAACACCTTGTTTTCTGGAAAATTCCTAAAATTAATTCAGAATGATGAAATTTTCATCTTTTCTAATATAATTATTTCCTACTTATTTTCTCCCACAATTATCAAATTATTCCAAATAATTACTCTGCATGTAATAAATACCCTTCCTTGGAACACTTCAATTACTTCCTACTAAGCGTCTCCTTAGCTTGCCATTTTAGTCCCTGTATGACTGTTCCTCGCAAATATGACCTGTTATTTTTACATAAATCTTTTGTACCATCCAAACTTGTCAACAGAACTTCCCTCGAAAACGTCAGATATGTTGTCACCTTAGATTCTCAGTTAAACAGTATCTGGCTTCTTGGATAGCATGTTATTTAAATCTTATTGCTCTACTTTAAAAGCTCTTTCAATCCCCACATGCACAATAATGCCTTATCTTCAAACCTGACTCAATTTCTGTAATTCACTTTCCTTAGACAAATTTTGTAGTTCTGCGTATTATCTGTGCAATTTTCACAATGTTTAGTATCTTGAAAACAGTGTGTGTTTTATTTCACTTTTTAAACACATGGTAGGAATTTATCAGATGTTCTAAACAGTTACTAATTCTGTCATTTGTGATACTTTCTAAAAGACATCTCAAAGGATATGGTTAACACGTTGATAATTATTCCACCAAACAAATTTAAACAACTAAAATCTACATGTCATTTTAAGAACTCCAGAGTGGGAAAAAAGCAATGAAATTTATAGCCTCAAACTGTATCCAGTACATATTAAAAATTACTTCAAAAACTTACCCGGTATTTACTGGCACCAAAAATTTTTTCAACCACATTAGTGATATCTAATGATGCATCAAAATACAAAAGCAATTCTTCCCCTTCTCTGTTACCAATTTTTACTACACTTTTCAGAATTATACTCAGCAGCTTCTTTGATTCTTTCACTGTACACAAAAAAACACAGTGATTAGTCTGTATTTATGATACCACTCTATATGTATATGGAAAAATATACTAATTATAATAATTAAAATGAATATTACATACATTCATTAAAATGAATGTATATTAATTAAAATGAACTGAATCAAAATGTCAACTTTAGAATTGAACAGTGTTTAATCAATTCTGGTACTAACTACCTATATAAAAATGTCAAGTCTATTACCTTTCAGAGTCTCAGTGTCCTGATCTTTAAACTACATGCCATAACTAATGAAATAAAGCCCAGAATAGCTTCCAGATCCTAATAGATTCTTAACAAAATATTCCTTGATAGCATCTGAAAGAGTTCTTTCAATTTTAAAAAAGGCAAAAAAGGCAAAACTTTAATTCAATACAATTATTGTATTGCTATACATAAGCAACTTGTCAAGCAATTTTACTAAATCTAAAGTCATAAATATATTGACAGTAAATATAAGATATTATAAAAAATTAAGTGTGAAGAAAGTGAGGTAAAAATGATACATTCCAGATTCCTAATGATTTTATCAAAGTAAATACTGTAAGTACCAGTCTAAAAGAAGTATTCACATACTATCCCTCAGAAAAGTTGGCAAAATTTTACTGGGCACCCAATTAAATTGCCTATATTATAAACTAAAGGTCCAGCACCAGGACCACCACATATTTAAGTAGGTTTCCACTGTTGCCTGAGAAGTCTCCACACCTGCCTCCGGAGTATACTTTCATGCAGGTGGAAAGCACCCTGATGGAGAAGGACCACACAAACTAGGAAAATTTATCTCTATATCTGAAAAAGCTCTCTCTTCTAAAGGACAAATAGCCATATAGCCGGTGAAAAATTCTGATTCTTAGCAGCCCTAGGAAAACAGATTTTATTTGTTTTTGGACTTGTACAGTCATGAAATTTCCACAGTAATGTCCTTTGATGGAACTAAAAATTATTAACTGATTGAAGATAGCAGTGACGGTTTCTAACTCAGAGTGACACTCATAGTTTTTTAAAAAATTCATCAGTTCAAGTAACAAGTTTTCAGGTTTCCAAGATGAAAATTTAGGTGGCTTTAAAGATAATGTTTCATGAATTGATGAAAAGCAAAACATTTATAAGCTTTATGGATATTTTTGTTGATTGGTTCATCCTTCTGACATGCACTTGATTTTTTTCTGTAGCTTCCTGTAAACATATTAAATGTAATATCCACTTTCACTGCTTGCATGTACACGGTATTAGAATTATTCCAAATTTGTGATTTTGTACCTGTTTGTACACAGATGTATCTACATATACTGTGATTACCTGTACAGGAATGTACTGACATTTGTTATATTTTATTGACTATTTTGTTAAAGTCTATTATTTGTTCTGACTGCATGAAATAAAATTAGGTTGTGTTTGCTTTTTAATTATTAGTAATATTACTGAGGTTCCAGAAAAGTTCTTGTTTTCTTGCTTCCTATAAAATCCAAGCATTTATAGATGTCAACAGACCAGCATTTTTTGAAATACAACAAGGTAGTTCTATAGGATTCCAGTATACTATTAATATTCTTCATCCTAAAAAGTCATTTAAAAATATTAAATTCATACACAGAAAACCTAATTTGTTAATACAAAGGTCTGTAGGGAGCATCCCATGTTAATCAAACACAGAACAACAGAGAAAGGAAGACATTCAAAGGGCATTAAGAAGTTGAAATGAATGAACATGGAAACTGATTAATTTAGAAGAGTCAAGAACCGCTTCTGTATCTGGGGAGCCTAACAGATTATCATGTTATTTGCTAAGAATAGAAATTAAGGAGATCTTTGAGTACAATTATAAGTTCAGTTTCACACATGTGTTTCAGATATTTGAAAATGTACCACCCATGCCAATTTTAATAGGCTTACAACAGGCTTAAGATATTCATATTACATCTGCATTTAGAGTTCAGCTAAAAATTAGAAAACTATATTTAAAAATAAATTGTGGTCAACAATACAGTGTCAAATGTGAGGAAAGGATCAATGTAAGGACTGACACACGTATACTGGTTTTAATTATAAAAGTTATTATCTTGACATTGGAATGATTTCGGAGAATAGAGCTTCACAACACAGTAAGACTAGAAATTAACAACAAAAAGAAGAGGAAAGAGTGAAACCTATTTTTTTTTTCAAAATTGGCTATGAATGGAAAAAGAGAGATGAAGATACAAGATCCAAGCTGGCTTTCCACTTTAATATGCATACATGTGAACCTCTTCATATGCCAAGAAAGGTGGGGAGAAACATTGAAAGAAGGGAAGAAGATATGAGATGTGAACTCATGGAACACAGATGTGGAGAATATCAATGAAGAACTCAGAGAAATCACCCTTCAACAACAGTAGATAACACCTTTTCCATTTACAGAAGAGTTTCAAAAATACTGATCTATATGCAAAGACATGAGGAGATGCAGGACTTAAGAAGCCAAAGTTCATAGGCATTCTTGCCTTAAAAAATTTATGTTTTCCCACTATCATCTCATTGTGAAAGAGAGGAAAGGAAAAGGTAAAAAAATTCTACAGATAGTTAAAATTTTAAATAGCTGCTCTTGGAGAACTAGAAAGGGGAGGTCCGTATAGCAGACTTCTAAGTAGCATTTAGGGTCCAAAGTTGAATGTGGATAACTGCCACTTTTGAGTGAGGTATAAATAAATACATTGTGGCAAGTCACTCTCCTGCTAGAAAATAATAGTAATAATCAGATCTTTCTGGTGGCACTAGGGACTGAACCCAGGCCCTTGTTCTTGTTCCTCTGAAATTGAGATACATTCCTAGCCCTTTTAAATTTTTTTTTGAAACAGACTTACTAAGTTGCCTAGGTTGGCCTTGAATTTGTTAACCTGTTTGTTAGATGGGATTAAAGAAATGCACCAATATGCCTTTGCACTGAGCTACAACTCCAGCCCTTTCCATTTTTTATATGGAGACAGGGTCTCACTAAATTGCTAAATTGCCCATGTTGGACTTGAACTTGTGATCTTCCTGCCTCAGCCTCCCAGAATGCTGGGGGATTACCAATGTGCACCATCATGTTAATGCTAACTGTGAATAGACTTAGGACAAGAAACTGCTAGAACAAAGACAAACTACTGAGTATTTAGCTGATCAGTAAGGCCTTGAATAAAAAAAGAATACTTAGACATTTTAAAGGCATGAATAATTTTGTCTTTATTATAGGGCAGCATGAGAAGATGGCCAGACTGTCAAAAGCAAGTGTTCTCTTGGTCAGCCCGGGCTGGGCTGAACCCCGGACATCTTCAGGAACCCCAGTGAGTACAGGTTTTGCCTCCCTGACCAGCGTGCAAGGCAGAGGAAACCTCGGGCACCTTCTGGGGCCTGGGTGGCTACCTGCCATGCCCATAGTGTGTCTGCCGGGGCTGGGCCAAACAAAACATTTAGGAACCCTGGTGATCCACTCTAGTGCCTGCCCCACTAGGGTGTGAGGCACTTGGATTCCTGGGCAACTTCTGAGGCCTTGGTGGTCACTGCCAGAACCACTCACACCCCTGCCCCCCTGCAGCAGCTCAGCTGACACCTGGATAGTCAGAGGCCTCGGGGAGTTCACCCTCACCCCTCCCCTTCCAGTGTGGGAAGCAGGCTCTGTCCTGGGCAATATCTGAAGCCTCGGTGAACACAAGCTGTATCCCCCACTACTCTTGTGGAAGCTGGGCAGAACCCCTGGCAGTCTCAGGAACGCTGGCGAGCCTCCCCTGCCCTTCTCACACACTCCTGGGAACCAACTGAATGCAAAAAAAGCCCAGGAGAATCTGGGACCCCACCTTGCCACCACTCATCTCACAGGAGCTGCACTGAGCACTGGGGATGTTCAGACTCTTGCCTTGCCGCTCACACACAATCAGGACAGTGAGGCTGCACTCCAGGGAGCCTCTGGATCTTCAAAAATGACAAAACAAAGGAGCAAAATGCAATCCCAGACCTCCATAACATCCAAAACAAGTCCAGGAGACATCAACACAGAAGACCCTGGAAGTCGTACACCTGAAATTTCTCAAACGACAGCAACTGAAGTAAAGAAACAACTCCATCAGGCCATAGAAGACATCAGATCAGAAACAATGTCTCAGGTGAAAAAAGAAATGACAACAATAATGAAAGAAATGTTCAGCATAACCAAAGATGACACTGACAAGAAAACAGAAGACCACAGACAACTCATGGAAACCTTCAGGGAACAATGTAGAAAAGAACTAAAAGGTATGAAACAGATGCAGATATCTAGGAAATTAAAAATTCCATTGAAAGCTGGTAAAACCACCTCAAGGAAGCTGAAGATAGACTTTCAGACCTTGAAGACAGCACTGCCACTAATGAACCAGAAAGGAGGGATCTCCTGAAAACAAGAGGAACCAGGAAATAACAATTCAACAACTGCAAGATGAAGCAAAGAAAAACAATGTCAGATTAGTAGGTATTAATGAAACAGCAGGCGTCAACACAAATGACATGAAAAGACTATTTGCAGAAATAATAGCAGAAAATTTCCCAGACATGGTAAAAGAATAGGACATCCCGATAAGTGAAACATACAGGACTCCAGTTAATCATAACCAAAATAAATCTACACCCAGACATATAGTTATCAAGATCCCAGAAACTCAACAAAAGCTCAGAATATTAAAGCTGTTAGAGAAAAGAAACAGGTCACCTATAAAGGAAAGCCCACAAGAATCATGGCAGACTTCTCAACCAAACCATCAAGGCAAGAAAAGCTTGGAGTGAAGTATTTCAAGTACTGAAAGAAAACAACTTCCAACCCAGATTGATATACCCTGCAAATCTATCCTTCAAATTTAATGGAGAAATAAAATATTTCCATGATAAAGAACTGAAGAAATTCACGAGTGCCAAACCAATCCTACAAAGAGCACTAAACGATACTCTAGAAAGACATAAAACAGACTGCAACTTCAAGAACAACAACAG